GACGCGGTGGTGCAGCGGCTTAATGATGCTTAAAGTTGCCGGCCAGAAATGGTCGGCACTTCAGCGGTTCGAGCCCAGCTTTTGCGCAGCAGAGTGGGCTCCTGTTTCCTCCCCAGCTCCTGTCAACCCAACAGATCAAAAACTTACATGAGTAGATAAATGGGTACTCTCACCCCGGTGGGAGGAAAAATGCTGGCGGCGCCTTACAAAAGGAGTCGGGAGCAGTTGCCGGTAGCGCAGAACCCGCACATGCCTGAAAAAGGCGCGAAGCAACGGAAACCCCGCCTCCTGCGCTCGCCAGCTGGACTCTGCTCTAGGAAGGAGGCAATGGCAAACCACTTCCGAAAACACCTTGCCTTGAAAATTGCAAGGACTCCTCCAAGCAGTCACCATAGAGTCGGTAACGACTGAGTGCGGATAAAAAAAAAAAATGGCAATGAAATCAATTTAAGCACCCTTTAAGAAAAGAACTCTGGCTTGTGCTAGGCTGAGTACCAACCTGTAGTGATATCATGGCCAATTCCTTCCACAGAAATGACAGCTCCTGCAAGTTTGTTGTTGTTCTCATCTGACACCAGGCCTTTGATGCCCTGGTGAATCTGCACAACAGAAACACTGAATAGCCTTTGGACTAGGACTATGGTATTTAGGAAGAGTACAGCAACAAATCATTTTGTTTTGAGCTTCAGCAGTGATGGGGCTTCTTTAGAGGCCTGAGAAAAAGTCTTCTCCCACTCTCACAATGATGCACTTAGTGATAAAACACAGATGTGGTGTGTGCAGAGGGTCCCAGGTTCATTCCCCAGCAGTTCCAGAATAGATAGATTGGGAAAGACCTGTCCAAAATTCTGGACAGAGTTCCAGAGTTTCCACATATTCTAGATTCACTTATTAAGCCCTTTGGATGAACAAGAAAAAAATTGAGTCCACACATTCCTCCATCAATATAATGAAAAAAGATCTCTAATCAGGATTGTATCAACTCCAGGAAGAGTTAGGAAAAATCGGAAGAGGTGCTGGATGAATTGGGGGATGTGGATGGGCCAGCGAGAAGGAATTGCTAAGATTGGGAGTGGTACAGCAGTGGTGGGAAGGCACTAGGAAGTTTGGAGCAGTGTAAGAGCTAACAGGAAAGCACTGGGAAGACTGGGGAGGTGTGCAGCAGTGGCAAGAAGGCACTGAGAAAATGGGAGTGTGAGGACTGGGGAGAAACATACTTTTGTGCATGTGCAAACTTGTAAGTAGGCTTTTTTATGCATATTCAGAATTAAGGGACAGTCAGGTTTAACAGAGGCCCCTTCCCCCCACCCAAAAAGCAGTGGTATACCTAGCATATTTGACCCTGGGAGCAGATCATTTTTTCACAGCCCCCTCCTCCATCACTGCTGTGCTGCACTGCTGACTGCCAAACAGCTGATTGGTGTGCCAGAAGCAGCCACCCAATTCCACACCCACCTCCAACTTCCTGGATAGCCTCCTTGTCATCTCCAAGTTGCCAGACAATGGACCCCCTTATTGCCTGTACCCATGGCAGACCGGCCCCATTGCCCTGCCCTTGGTATGCCACTGCCAAATAGTCCACTAGATCAAGGGTTTACTACATAACGTAGCATCTTACAACCATGGGAGAAAGAGGAGATCAACTTTAAAAAAGGCTTGCCAAAAAGCAGGATGACATTGTGGCATAATTTTGTTACCTCCTCTATGTAGGCAATAAGGGCCTCCCGATTTGCCAGCCATTCAAATTCCAGTTCCTCCTGCGGTGGGAATTTGTTGCAGCTCAGTTCAAGGGTAATTTCAAAGCAGTTACTGTGCAGGTAATTGAAATCCTGCATCCCTGAAAGACAGCAAAAGCTGGAGATATATTTAATCTGCAATATAATTCCTAACTAAACGAGTCTTCAGAATGGTTCACAAATCAACCAAAATAATAAAACAATAAAGTATTGATGTTAAGCCAGCAACAAATGAAGGTGCATCAGAAACAAAACAATAGAAACCTTACAAATAGCAGGCCATCACAGAAACCTGAAGGGCTAGAAAAAATGCATTAAAACAAAACTGTTTTTATAGTTCCGTTGAATGTATTCAAAGAACTGAGTATCTTTGGCCAGGGCATCACTGATAAAAAGCCTTAAGCATCCCTTTAAGCCATATGTCACCAACTGAAAAGATGTAGAAAAGGGCCTCTCCTGATGACTTGATACCTGAATATGGGGACTGAAGAACAATACAATAGAAGGGCACCAAGCTGGGGAACTTTTCTAATCATTCTGCAGGCCATTCCTCTTACATGATGGGTCATTTCAAAGTCTTCTCTCCAAAATATACCTCCTGTTCTTATTTTCTTGTGCTATCACCCCATTTGACTTACCCTTGCTGAGTGAGTACCAAGATGCCCCATTAGTGATGCCATCAATAAAGAAGTCTCCACAGTTTGTACCCCGATGCATCCATCCGTGGGCATAGGAATAACCCTTGGCCAACTGGAAAGAAAATGTCAAGCTGGTCATATCTTTTCACCTGTCCAAGTTCACTCACATTGCAAGGTGGAAATAGACTCTAGATCTAAACAGGGAAAAAAGAAGACATTAATATCACCTTTGCAATATTAGTATCCTTGCTTTCCCTTAAGAAAACCTATCCCATTATATTGTGTGGCACATTCAATGCTGTTCAGAGCAAAACATGAAACAAACACAAACACAGCACATAGTGAAAGAGCCAAGGTGTTAGAAGATAAGAAATTGTTTTGCTGAGTGGAAAATGTTTTCGAAGAGATTTTACACTCTTCTTCTTCTTCTGACTGGGCGTAAGAACATAAAAAGAGCCTTGCATGATCAGACCAAAGACCCATTTAGCCCAATATTTTGTTTCATAGCAGCGAACCAAATATTACTGGGAAACCTACAATAGGCTTTCTCTGTATTCCAGCAACTAGTATTGATGCATATGGTGTCTCTTTTATTAGAGATAATGTACGGCCATTATGGTTAATAGTCAATGATAGCTTTATCCTCCATGAACTGTTCTTAGCCCTTTTTAAAACCATTCAAGCTGGTTGCCATCATTACGTTTGTGAAAGTAAATTCAAAAAAGCGTTATTTATATATGTCCTGAACCTCCTGCCCTTCACATTTATTAAATCATCCTGGGTTACAGCATTTTGAGGAATGGAGGAAAAAGTATATTTCCTCTATCTCTCATATACTTCTGTTTTTTCCCCCCACTTAACTTAAAGAAAGCAAAATGTAATTTTTCAACTTTTAGGGGAGCTATTCCAAGAACCTGATGACTTGGATTGTACTTTTCTACTTCTACAACACTCAATTATTATTTTCAGATGTATGAGAACAAAATTATATACAATTTTACAAATGTGTAACTTTGTATGGAGGAATTATACCACCAGGTTTGTTTCACTTCCTTTCCTAATGACGGCCCAGCACCCCCATTTTGAAATCTGCCTTTTTTGCAGCTTCCTAGTTATCCACTACCAGTTCAGGGCCCATCAAAATATATTTATTATTTATTAAAAACAGTTTTATTCTATTATGCTCCACAAAGCTCTTCATAGCACATAGCAAATAAAAATAAAAGCAAAAATATAAAACAAAAACCAGCATCTGATAAGCTTAAGAGCAGCAGAATAATAATACTTAAAACATTAAAAATAGCAATTAATAGAATCAGGGAGGATATACTGAAAGCTGTCCTAAAAAGAAAAGTCTGCACAACATTCAGGAAGATTGTGTATGAAACAATCCTAATTCTTTCTGACTGTGTAGGAGTTGGTTTCATTGCATTTTTTTTTCCTCTTGAAGTTTCTTCTCTGTCTTTCTCCTGGTATTGCTCCAAGACTGGAAGTAATTCACACTGAGAGAAAAACTGGCTATGAGTAAGAGTTCAGTATTGCAAAAAAGCACAAATATTCATTGCAGTTTTTAAATGATTAGTATCAGTGCTGTACTACACGATATATTGCAATACTAGTCATTTGGCCTGAGTATCAAGTTGAGGTGGGGGATGCGGTGGCGCAGCGGCTTAATGACGCTGAAA